CAAAATAGGGGCGAGACCCTTTTGGGGTAGGGGCGTGTTTGTTTTGGTGATTTAAAATGTCAACATTGGCTACAAGAAATCACTTACCCCACCTTTAAGTGTCTGTAAACGGTAACAACACAGTTTGCTCATGGGTCAGGGAGTGCAAAAATTCAATTCTTCAGGGACTGGCCAGTGCCATGTTGACCTTTAGACCACCTTGATCTGAGGGTAGTAAAGGCCTAAACTGAACTATGGCATTCACTATGTGAAGAGACAGAGTCTTTCTGAACACTCTGCCAAACTACAGTTATTAATAAACTGCCTGTTGTTGGTGTGTGAACAGCAATATTATCCTGATCAAAAGGAGAGGGAAATATGAAGAATCTGGGTTATATTCCATTAAGTGGCAATCCTCATTACACATTTGAAATTGAGCAAAAAGAAAACGACTCCTTGATGCACCTGTTGAACAAAATGGGGCAGTGACATGTTTAAACAATGAATGTATAACAACCCCCCCCCCCCCATTATACTTTGTCCTTTTTTTAGCATGGAAACAAGAGAGCAGCCCTTCAGTCTCCCTACCTCTCTGACCAGCTCCTGTTTGTGGCAGTGAGTTATCTTTATCTTCATCTTTAACTCTAAGACTTAGGAACATATTCAGGCTGTCACCTCTCTGACTCACATACTAAATCAACAGCACCCTTCACACACTCACAGCTAGCAGACTCATTTCACTGCACAGCTAGGTCATGGCGGACAGAAAGGACAGCAAGACCCCCAGTAAAGGTGGTCTGACAAAGAAGAAAGAAAAGAAAGTGGAGAAAGTAGAGAGTAAACCTGAAAAGGAGAAAGAAAAGAACAAAGATAAAGGTGAAAAGATGACAAAGAAGCCAGAGAAGACCCCAGAAAATCAGCAAAAAAATGAGGAGATGCCTCAAGGAAATGGGGAGGTAGCAGAAGGAGCCAAACACCCTGACAAAGATGAGGAGTTTGAGCTGGAGCCTATGGAGCTGCCTCCATTTGAGATCATTGTAGGGTAAGTCAGATATGTTTCACTTATACAAACTGGATCCCACAGTAATATTTCAGTCACTCAGCAAGAACATTGGAAAAAAAGAGAAAAAGCTAAATATTTGTACCTATAGGGACACAACAGCTTATCTCTGGCTCGATAAAAAGGGACAACTTTGTTCCTTATTTAACCATAAACAGTTCATAATTGTAACTTAAGGGTACATATTTCCACTAAGTAATTATTATGCTCCTTTTAGGAGTAGAGGCACAAATTTGTCCCTTTAAGGGTACTGGCAAGCTGTTGTATCCCTAAAAGTACAGGTTTTGCTAATTTGTTCCTGATAGAGTATCTTCAAAATTGATAACAGCATGGCATATTGCATGACACCACAACCTATTTTAAGATTACTTTGCCACTTGTTTAGAAGAGGGACCTTTTAAAAAGGACCATTAATAAATGAAAACATAGATAATGCATGAGTATTTAGCATTCTAGAAACAACGCTTGGCATGACCAACTCTGACAACAGTTCAGACAACATCTGAAATTCCAACATGTTGGACAAGAACATTATAAATGAGACCAATCCAGGACATTGCTTTGAACCCCAGTGCTTTTAGAAAGTTGGGACTTTTCTGTAGGCTACTCAGTATAATCTTTGTCTTTATGAGTTTTCCTATCCCTGCCATGGTGTAGCAAACAATGATGATGCAGGCACTTAACGTCCAAAAGTATGTGAGCACCGTCTTATAATTAACCAGTTTGACTATTTCAGCTACACCCATAAAATCAAGCACACAGACATGCAATTACCTAAAACAACGATTTAGAGAACCAAAGAGCTCAATGACTTTCAACAGGGTACATCACTAAGGTCCATAAGGTTTGATTGACCTGCACAAAAAAATTAAACCCCATTGGCTCTCATGATTGAATGGGATAAAATCTCAACCATCATCCAAATTCTAGTGGACAACCTTCCCATAAAAGTGGAAGCTGTTAGAGCAGAAACATTCCCTATTAATATCTGGTTTAAAATCATTCAGCAAGCACATATGGGTGTGGTGTTCAGGTGGCCATTATCTTTAAGCCATGTAGTGTACATCAGGGCCAAAAAAAAAAAAGCCACCACCACCTCTTACCACTCAATGGGTTCTTCTTTCAAATAAAATAAAACTCACCTGACATTTTATAAGAATTTATTTAAACAAAGTGATCAATACAAGCCCATTAAGTCCTTTTGAGTCTCTGTAGGCTTATTAGTGGCCATTCAAACTGAAGTGCTTCTTATCCAAAGTTAATGCATTCATTTGTTTTAAAGCTGGAATACACCACACAACTTTTACACAGATTTTTGCCCATATTTGTAATTTATGCTTGTTGCTGAAAACCAGAGCCAGTCTGCAGATATGGGCAGTTGGAGTTGAGAGATTTCACAGAAATTCATGAAGTGTATGATGGGCACGGTCTCCAATTTTTTGAGTTTTAGATTATGATTCCATCCAGTCTGAAAGGATATCAACATGTCTGATATTTTGAGCTGATTTTAGAACACATATTGTTTCCACTTCTCATGTGTGTCCTAGCAACAAGGTGCACGTTTCTGCGTGAGTTTGCCATGTTTGGAACGACCTGAAAGTCTGAAGTCTGAAAAGTGTGCAAATCAAATTTTTCTCTGTAACCATTTACAAAGTTGCCAAGCGTATGATGCCTAGTGTTTTAAAAACTGTACAATTTTTTAGTAATGAAGTCATGTAGTGTATTCCAACTTTTACTTTAATCTTTCTCACAATAGATTGTGATAAAAGTCTTATTCCAAATGTCCTCCTTCTTCCCACAGAGACAGACTGAACCCGACCTTCTTTAAGTTCCAATTTAAAAATGTGGAATATTCCTCCGGGCGCAACAAGACCTTCCTGTGCTACCAGGTAGACATTCAAGGAGGCGCTGGAGAGACAGATGGCCTTCGTGGTTACCTGGAGGATGAGCATTCGGGTTCACATGCCGAAGAAGCCTTCTTTCAACAGGTGCTGGCTCATTACGACAAGTCACTCCACTACACAGTGACCTGGTACACGTCCTCAAGCCCTTGCACAGCCTGCGCTGCTAAGCTCGCAGAGATCTTGCAAGCACGCAAGACAATGCGCCTTAATATCCACTGCTCCCGTCTCTTCCAGTGGGAGGAACCAGAGATAAAGGTCGGACTTCAGGCGCTAGTTAGGGCGGGGTGTAAAATACGCATGATGAGGCCTGTGGATTTTGCGTATGTTTGGTCTACTTTTGTTGAGAACGAGGAAGATAACTTTACACCCTGGGAGGACTGTCAAGACAACTATGATTATTATGATGAGAGGTTGTGTGATATTTTAAAGTAGGGTAAGGAGCCGCAGCTGGCCTCTGATTAAGACTGTTAAAAACAGCCTGGGCACCGCCTTTAAGGAAATTTAGTACTTAAAACCTAATTATTACAATGTCTCTGTAATTACACCAGCAATGTTTCCTGTCAACACTATTTGTCCTGTGAAATCACACGGTTGACTTTATTAACTGATTTTAAACTTACATAAAGAATTCAAACCACACTCATGTATAGTATTTAGATGGGCATCTCAAATATATAGGTTACATTTTTATTTTACTGAGTATCATTTTGAGAACATTTGTAAAAGCTAAACATCTGGGTGTAAAATTCAAACATGAAATTCCTAGTTAACTAATTCTTTTGCAAACTAAAATGAATATTGCTCTAAGCATCATGTATAAATATTCTAATTTTGTCTTTTTAAATGTTTTTTTTTTTAATATTTTGAAATGATATAATGAACATTGGCATAGTGAACAGTCTCCTTGTATGTGAAACAGTAAACATGAGTCAATTTCCTATCATAAGCACAATCTAAGACAGCATGCTTTTCAATGCTATTTATAATATACCAAGGCAGTGGATCCCAACCTTGTTCCTGGAGTCCCCCCAAAACAGCACATGTTCGCTGTGTCTCATTTCAAAGGCTGCACCATCCAGAGGTTGCATTTGTCGGCATTATATGTCGACTATTACATTCCAAAGACCGAAATTACTGTAATTATCTCTCATGAGGACTAACAGTGAATTTTATAATGGTTGCTTTTCTGAAATGAGAGAGGATCTGTGACATATGCGTCTGACTAATGCGACCTGTGGAGGACACAGCCTTCGAAATGAGACATAGCTTTTAAACATCTCCACGAACAGGGTTGAGAACCACTGTACTAAAGAATCAATTGGAAATAAGGATTTCAGAATAATGGTGGAATTATTATTTATGGGACATTTATAGTGCATTTATATTTGAGGTACACTTAATTTAGTGAAATTCACTGGAAAAATATGAACTAGAAAGCATCATTTATCAAACAAATCAAATGAAACTTGCACCCTCTCGTGATGAAAAGAACATTCATACAATTTAGAGATGCAACAGGAGGATGGAAAAACAATGGAATCTAACTTAGGGGAAAACAACTACATATTTTTAGTGTATATAACTGGAACTGTCTTAAGAGCTTATATTTCCCAAAACAAGACTAATGAACACCCTACACACCATAAAGTACGTTGTGAAATTCCATTGGAATAATAAGCCATCCTCCAACCATTATTTAAGAACGGTTAAGAAATAATGTGAGTTTCAGACCTGCCGTGGTCTAGATTGTGTACACGGTAATGGATATTTTTGTGTCCTGGAAGACTTCTGAGATAATGGAAGACACATTTTCCCATTTCAGTTTATCCAGCCCACAGCCAATCCTAGCAAGAGAAAATGCCATCAGTTATTGAAAATCAATTCAAAAGAAATGTTACCCTAATTCTTTCCAAATTAGTATTTAAAAATGCAATTATCAAGCTACATTTGAGTTGACAACTGCAAAATGATTTTTTATTGTCATTTAAGTAATTTAGCTAGAATCATATTTAAAAAAAGCAAATCTAAAATCAATATCTGCATTTAAATTAAAAACAACACTATTGTTATTAAATGTGACAGTTTACCGAGGCATGGATATACTGTTAACACCATTGGCCAAGCAGTGTTCCCTCATAGACACAAGGCTCTTTCTGAGAATGTCATAGGTGGGTTTTTGGTAGTACTTTTTCTTTGTGACCTAGAGCAAGAAAAAAGTGGAAAAGGTAGGTTTTGGTTAACAAGAAAGCTGCAAGTCAAGACAACTCTACTCTTATCTTAATTTATTTAGTAAAACAGAACAGATGTGAATTAGAGTGAACTGAACACTACAGGCCATCTTACCAGGTAGTACACGAAACGACCAGCTCTTCTAAGGACAGCACACTGCCCAGGTTGTTTCTCTGCACAAAACAGAAGACAGAAAAAAAACACTGAGAATGAAACGGGTGTAATTTGATTGCCATCTCTCAGTAATGATAATTCACACTCACTCTGAGCCAGAAGCTCCTCAACTCCACCAAACCTCTTCTTGAAGAGCACAGCGATCCCTGCCCCCATGCGGAGGTCTTCACTGATGCAGTGCGCCAGGGCATCGGTGGGCGGACAGGTGAACAAATCTCCTCTCTTGTGCAGCAGCCGCCATCCTGAGCTGCATGGGAGCTGCAATAAATGAGCAAGACAACAAACCCAATCATAACAAGACAAATCATTCCAACCTCCAGACAATTGCCTGATAATGCATCTGAATTCAATTTTGCCTGTACCACAGCCAACACTCTAATTACATTTGTATTATTATTATTATTATTATTTAATCATTCTGAATACCCTTTCTAAATTCTTTTGCTGGGGAAATCTTTGGTCAATCTTTACACAGATTTGAAAAGTAAAAAAGTAAGACTTTTAAAAGTTATGGTACTCAAATGAAGACATGCTTACTTTTGCCGTACCTTCATCCGCATGATCTTGTCCATCAGATTCCTTTGACATTTGAGCAGAGACTTGACTGGTATTATTTTCTGTAAGGACACATTTTATCTTGACTACAAAAAGCTACTGAACATTTCGAGATACCGGTAATTCAACACGCATGATGGGATATGTTGTCACACTATATGAAGTAAAATCATAGTGAAATCTGCAGTTTTTTTATTCTGTCTTGAGAAGAATACACTAATACTGAAATATATAAATAGCCTAATATGCAAAATTTAACAGCCATCTTCCACAAACTAACATTATCGGTGTATAAAATGTATTACAGGCAAACGCAAATTCATGAAACATCAAAATATAAATCAATAAATTAAAATAAAATGAAATGAAAAAAAAAATCAACTTTTTGGCCAACAGAAAATGAAATTCATTATTGTTTAAAATTACATTATATAAAACAACCCCGTGACAACCTAACATTTATGAAGAAATACTGTGTCCTGAAACCTGTCAAACCTGTTTAGCTGTGCTCTTTATTTAAAATCTTATTTATTTAAGTTACTGAAATATGGTGACAACGTTCCAATGTGACAACTAACTACATTCCCCCCTGTATAACCTTAAAGGATCGTGTTCATAATCATCAGTAAGTAATTATTGTATAATTACAAGTTAAGGTTATTTAGTATTTACATATTTAAGTTCTTAACCAACAGCCACGGGTTTGATACGTCGAGCTGCTGGTCAGATAACTTACCACAACAATGAAGCTGATGTGTGTTTTACGTCCTTTAAACGTTCGAGGTCAATCACTGTAAATAAAGAAGCAGGATGTTTCTCTTTTGCTTTGAGTGCAGGTTTAAATTCATTGTATTGAAAGGCTTGAGTGCCATCTAGCGTCAGGGAGCATGAGCGCGAACTGTTTATAAATCCAACGAGAGACATTGAAGGCGGATAGATAAAAAGGGAATAAAAGGTAACATCGAAATGAAGAAAATATTTCATACGCCAAAAAAGCTTCTATAACGTATGCATTTGTTTGTTTATTGATTTGAACAGTCTCATACATCAGCATTTAATGGTTATTCTACAATTGTTAATATTTGGAAAATGTATTAAATGATGATCATGGTCATCATCATAATAATAATACAGTTTTTAAATATGGAGTCTTTAACATAGCAGGAACATTTTAATTAATCAAATATTAATATTTAAAATAGTTGTTTAAAATATTAACAATAAAATATTATGTTTCTGTAGCAGCATTGAAAAAAAAATGTGACAATTGTATAATAATTGATAAACAGTCACGACTGCCGACATCCTGAGACTAAAAATGATTAGAAAGTGATATAACATCAGTGATGATGTTAATTTAATCATAAGATGGCTTGAATAAAATAGTCCGAAAACAATATTGGTAATATTCTGCTACGGAGATTTTTTGGGTTTTTGTTACCCTGCTCCATTATAATCATGATAAACAAAATAAACTTAATCATGAAATTTGTAAGTGCTGTTAGTGTAGAATTACATATTATTACCATCAACTACATTTAACACAGCTGACAAAACAAAACCACGATTAACGTTTTTTTCTTTGTAATAAATGAAAAAATAAATTCAGTAATAGTACATTAAATTTATAATTGGTAAGTTTTTATTTTTGAGAAATTTACAAATGCAAATAACTTTACAATCGAGACCTTCCAGGGACTTAATTCTTTACAATATTCATGTATTTACAAACATCAGATATGCCAATTTGAAATGGATTGCTGTTGTTTATAAGCTGAGTAATATGCCACATACAGTAAACTCAAATGCACCTCATCTGCAGAATAATAATAACAGAAAGTCAGAAATCCAGTCAGTCATGAAAGTGAGCCTTTTACAAATCCTAACAACAAGAATGAAAAAACAATAAAGAAAACATGAATATTTACATGTAGATAGAATTAATTCTGTTTGTCAAAAAAATAAATGGGAGTTACACCACTACATTAAAAAAAAAAAAGACTGATGGCTTAAATTCAATTGAATGAACCAAGACTAAAAGACTGTAGTTGAGAAACTATGCATGCTCTGTATATGTTGGTTAAGGGGTAGGATTCTGTTAAGGGTTGTTTTGGTGAATATGGAGTTCAGAAGTTGGCGCTGCGGCGTCTCTGTTCATTGATCCAGTCCATTTGCAGCATCTTCATGACCCACTTGTCACGTCGTGCCCCATCAATGAACTCATCCAGAGACAACTCCCCTGTGGACACAGCAAAGAAACTCAGGATCAGCTGCTTTTTCAAGAAGGCCTTTGAGCAGAAAGCCAGAATTTTTCCACGGTTTGATTAATTATTAACATCAGTGTACTTAAATAAAAACAGACTGTATATTATAATAAAGGAAAAGACTATAGACTTTGGCTTAACCATTTAATAATTGTAGAAAAATAATGAATCATAGTAAGTTTTACCATCTCCATTCTCATCCACTAGCTCAAATATTCGGTCCACCACCTGATCTGGGGTCAGTAGGTTACACTCTTCATCAAGTTCACCATGGCAGGCTTTCTTTAGTCGGTAGATTGACTGTAAAAGTAAAGTAAAGGTGCCCATTTCTTTCTTTTGTAATCCTAAATGCATAAATGTCTTCTTTATAGCGGTATTACAAAGTATAATAGCATTTCTGCACACAAATGTCCTGCTATCACAGAGGTCATATGGATTAATCCCTCTGTAAACATCTCACTATAAGTTTCAATGTCAAGGTGAAAGTTATGAAACCGGTCATGAAAATGTAATCTCAGTACAAATGCAACCAGGGCACACAGAATTACAGTTTTCATCCTTTTTTCGTTAGTAATCTAGTAAACCACTGAAGTATTATAATCCCAATCGATGTTTAAGTCCATCTGACCGTGTTGACAATCGGGAAGAACATGAGAAATGATTACCTCCACAATCTCCTTGAGCTCTGTTTTGTCGATGCAGCCACTCCCATCCTTGTCATACATTTTAAAAGTCCATTTCAGTTTGTGCTCCAACTTTCCTCGCAGCACTAGATTCAAGGCTGCAATGTACTCCAGAAAATCAATAGTGTTGTCCTATGAAAAAAATGAAAGGGAGGGAAAGAGAAAAGAGGATTGACCTGTTAAAAATTATGTGAATTTTCAGGTTCATTTTTTTTTCTTCAATATGCAATCTCTTTCCCAGTATTCTATTCTATTCTATTCTATTCTATTGGTGTGAAGTATTTACACACTCACTCCTACACAGTGTTTATGCCTACTTTTTGTAATTTAACTGAAATTGAATAACTTACCCCATTTTTATCAAAAGCACGAAACATGTTTTCTATATAATCGGCCGCTTCTGGGTTTCCAGTTACACCAAAGAAGCTCTTGAACTCATGCATGAAGAGGGTTCCGCTCGGACATTCAACCACAAACTTTTTATACCACTCCTGCAGTTCGGCAGCATCAATCTCTTTATCGTCCGAATCCTCACTGAGTCGCTGACCCATCGCGAAAGATGACAATAAAGAACACAAGCTCTGCTTCTCAACAAAAAATGTCCATTATCACATCTGTCAGCTTCACTGTCCTGGAGTTCTCCCTGATCCAGACATCCCAATAAACCTTTTAAGCCCCACAAACTGATAATCCAACACCAAAAATGTCTGATTTAGGATACAAACGTGTATGCCCTTTAAAAATAGTAGTAAAAACTGAAGTTACAAATTTCAGTATGTACCAAAGTGTAAAACTAACCTCAGTCTATTAGCAAAGGTGCTCTACTGGCTTGGGATTCAGCACAAGGACTATTTTGGATCACATGACTGAAAGGGATTATTCATATCAATCCATGTCTGAATTAATTAGCTTGAAACAAGATCAAGCGCTGAGCAATAATTCATCATTTAGCACACAGAGTGTTCCATTCCTCAATTCAGGTTCAAGGGCTCCCTGAGGGTCTCATGTCAGAACATTAACCATGACCTGATTATTTTTTACCTGTTAAATCTAAAATAATCTTTTGAAGGCCAGACTGAAGGTCACGAATTCCACAAACATTCTTCCATTTAATTACTGAAAAAAATCACTCAAAAATGGATCAGTGAAAATACATTTGGATACTGTTTACTTCTTCTATACACTATAACATAGCACTTCACTTTTGAGAAACCAAAACGAGAAGAAAAAAAGAAGAAGATCCCATACTGGACCTTCCCCCGTTGTCCATGACGACCTTACAGGGGGTCTGAAGACATATACACTGTAAACTTCGTTTTTCAAAGCTGTATATAAAACAAAGATTATTAGAGTACATTTTACAAGACAATAACATTTCAGTCTCTCTACTTCAAAATGTCACATTTAATTTAATTTGTTACTTGCCGTTTCTTTGTAATTATTTGTGAAATTTGCAAGCAATTTCTGATTTTTTTCTTTAAAATATTCTTTAAAATAATATATATATATATATATATATAAAATGAATGTCCAAAGGTGGTACATAAATGATATACTTAATATTATAGAAACAAGTAACGTCTGCTAGAATTAAAGTTATGCAACTAAAATGTTACTGAGAATGCATTTATCTAGCATTTTTATATTGGGATTCCCTTGTTTAGCTGAATGGGAAGGGGGTGGGGGTCCCTGGATCTGAAATGTTGAAAGCCCTGACCATATCCTGCTCTTGGTCACTCAATCCTGTGAATCATTCAGACAATCTGAGTCATAATCCCCTCTGCCCTCTGGTCTTCCTATTAATAGTTTTTCAAAAATAGGATCTGAGAAGTCTGGCCTAGTTCATGAGGGTGGTGCATTTTGTCTGGACTCGTACCACTTTGGATCACAGTTAAAACTAAAATCTAAATGGTTACACTCTTTAAAATAAGGGTTATTGGCATCAGTGGGTTTATAAAGAACCTTTAACATCCATGGAACCTTTCCATTCCACAGAAAATCGTTATACTAAGAAAAACACACGTTCTTTTAAGAACTATTTATCATTTAAAGGTTCTTTGTGGAACCAAAATGGTTCTTTTATGGCAATGCTGAGAAAACGTTCATTTGGAACCTTTCTTTTTAAGAGTGTAATAACAAAAATAATGGGGTTGTGGAAGTCCAATGGCCTTGTTTTTAGGGTGACCCAGACCCAATAGATCACAAAACTGTTTTAACGTGATATGTTGCCTCTATTACTCAGGTTACAACGTAACAGTGTACTGTCTCCAAAATGACAGAAAGAATCTACTGTAGAAGGTATAATTTGATCCTGTTATTAGTAGCCTACTTAAGGCCACAATGTTGATAGTTCTGCAATGAGATATAGGGTGTATAACCTCAAAGAAAAGGGATTACGTGATATTAAAGAATATAAATGCAAAGCAACAGACTAATAATATGATTTCACTATAATAATCTCTTTGTATATGCAGTGAAGAAGTGTCTGTCTTACAGTGTTCACAATGCTTTGATACATTGCACACACATCTTCATGCCGACATACAGAAATGCTACTGGTCAAAGATACTCAGTTGTGTTCAAGTGCAAACACATAATACAGCAGGCCCCATAAGGTCTGTTTTGACAGTCCATGAACTTTAAAGACCTTTTCCAAAGTGCTGACTATACTTTATAAGGATAAGCTCCTTTGGCCTACAGGTATCCAGGCCACTCGTTGCACAATTAATCTTATTGGATTAATGAATACAATAACAAATATGGAGAACTTGTACACAACTTCACATACATTTGGAATGCAAAATAATGTTTTGAATGAATTTTTACTATTTTACTAATCATTTACTTGTATTTTGCTTTTGTGCCATGCATTGGATGACAAAACCTTTTTCAGAGTTGTAATTATAGTGCCATTAAAATCAATTAGATCTGAAA